GTTTCGATAAAACAAAATTAAGATTGAATAGTTAAGATAAGAGTAATAACATTTTTATATAGTCTTCATGTCGAAAATTGTGCTGAAGAACGTTGAAGTGAGGGTACAGGGTAAGCGGGGTCCTCTGATAACGACCCAGCGTTGGCTTAATTTCCTGTCACGCGTGACACCAGAGACATGACAAAGGGCGTCGAATTCGTTATCGTGACCTAACACCAGGCTTTACACCGTGAGTATGCGGTTGCCGACCGCCATTTGACATAAGATAACGCTGGAGCTGCTCTCCTCTCCTCACTCTATACAAGGTACCTGTTCCTTATCGGTATCGATAAGACAGGGATATCGATAGGGCTGACTTAACTGATCTCATTAATTCAAGACAAGGGTGACCATGTTGATATACAAAATTAGGTACAATTAATTATTTATGGATTCTGTTGCCGACATTTCACATCTATAATTAGGATCAAGGAATAACTATCCGAGATTTTACTCAACAGCCTTGCTGACGAAGTGCATGGTTGCTCGTGTCCAGGTTCTACCTCCTTTCGTCAATCGATTTGTTGAGTCTTATCCACAAAGCTGTAGTTCGCACTCGTCTCGTAGAACTTATAAATAATTGTTAGTTCAAGTAGGGAACATGATTGCGGATTTTATGCTATTCTACTTGAGATGACTTTACAAGAGTGTAATTTTGAGTTGGTAGACCTGACAAGTGATCCTCACATCACGCACCTCACGTGGATGTTACGCGTGTTCATTCCTCGCATCTGGAAAACCCACCAAATAATTGGGGCCGAAAATGACGCGCTAAGGTGTTGACGGATGAGACCAGTAAAGCTAGACGTCTTTGAGATGAAATACAATACTGCTGACACTAGACAGCTTAGTGAGTTCAATAGCATCACCGTCGACATCACTATGTAATTAGTTTGTTGGAAATAAGGCGATTGAACCTTGAAAAAAGTCTCAGGCCGGGGATCATTCTTATAGGCGACTCCTGTGGCTTCATTTATGGCAACATGATCATCTTCTCCTTGCCTCGTATGGTGTTGTAGGACAGTTGTAGTGGACAATTTCGGCACCTAAATCAAGCCCATTGTTGAGTTGAGAGTCAATTTGACCATGTAAGAAAGCACTGCCAAGTCAACGTGGCATGCATTGAATTCAGAATTACCTCATAACTAAGATGCAGTCTCAAGGTCATGATAAGCTGCTGGCCTGGTAATTGTTCTGGAATCCTCACTTGGAGATGGGTTATCTTGGCTTAAGGGATATTTTCCTTATTGTCTTCAAGGAAACGCCCTCTTGAAGACAGCGATGTTAGTCCTTGCAGCCTCTAACCGAGTTTCCAGTAAGAGTCAATCGGAAAACCCTTCCGACGGAAGCTTTCCGATTGTTGGTCTTCCGAATACCTTAACACCAAGACAGATTCAACCATTGATATGGCTTCTCAACCTGGTCTCATCTCGAGTGCAACTACTGTGAAGCAAATGCAAGCCACTGGAGGATGTTCTGGTCGCCGAAGAGATAGATCAATGTTTTATGATGACAATAACTTCAGATACGTCACCGTAGCAGTGCTGTGAGATGCAGCCGTCGGTTAGCTAGCCAATACCGTTACAAGTCACACCAACCTCTCACAAAAACTAACTGCTTCTAGGCATACGTGGACACATTTATTTTCTCAGCCAACAAATGATCTTCTTCAATTCAAGATTGATAGTGAAGTCAACAGGCATCACCTGGTAGATTGCTAAGGTCCTTGCAGATCATATTGCCGTAAGCAGTATATTCCCGAGAGACATGCATGAACTATCTCATATCTATCGCTCGCGAGATACATGTTCTTCAAGATGAATGGCCAGCTCGGCAATCTTATCTATTCCATCTGGACGACCTTGTCCCACTTTGTCAAGTTCAGGCGAAACGTCAACGCTGCTGCGGGGTAGCTTCAACCTTATTCCGCTTCGGCATTCAGATTCATGGCCCGAGACCAAAACCGACTCAAACACTACAAACGACACTCTACTATACCGAACTCCAGCACAACTGGATTGAGTATTTAAGAGACGATGAGTTTACAACAAATCATGGAGCATCAGCTCGATAATTCGACACTCTCAGACACAATGTACTCTCTCATGTCTCCAGCCGTTCTGCTAGGATCTCTTTTCTTCTCATTCCTAGCTGCAGCGAATTCTTCTATACCACAAGTCACTCTTCAGGGCTATGGTACATTCGCTGGTGCAAACATCTCCAAGACCTTGCTCGGAGACAACCTTCCTCAACCCGTCAACGCCTGGCTTGGAATTGACTATGCCGAACAACCCGTAGGCGACAGACGGTTCCGCCCTCTGCAGTCCCAACCCCAATCTCTCAAAGGCGTGCAAAATGCTACAAAATACGGATCTGTTTGCTTGCAGGATCTCATGTATCCTAACCCAGACGAACAGGACGAAGCGTGCTTGAACTTCAATGTCTTCCGTACACCTGGCGTGCCACTCAGCAAAAAGCTACCAACGCTGGTTTGGATCCATGGCGGTGGTTTTGCATCATTCTCAGGACGAGATTTTGATGGCGCTTCTTTCGTTGCGTCTTCTGTAGATCCGGTTGTTGTTGTTTCGTTCAACTACCGTCTCAATGCGTTCGGATTCTTACCCAGCAAGCTGTTCGAGCGTGAGGGACTTCTAAACCTGGGTCTGCAAGACCAGCGCTTCTTCTTGCAGTTCCTGCAGAAACACTTGAGCTCATTCGGAGGAGACCCTCGAAAAATCACGCTTGGAGGCTTATCAGCGGGTGCACACTCTACTGCATTTCACTACTTCCATAACTATGACTCTGATAAGAACAAGCCTCTCTTCGCGCGCGCGATTCTTCAATCTGGTTCAGCCACAGCTAGATCATTCCCAGGTGTCGACTATCCCAGATACAAGAAAGACTTTGCAGGCCTAATGAACTATATCAACTGCTCCACAGACGTGAGCGACAAGGAGCAAATGGGTTGCCTGCGCAGTGCGTCTGCACAAAAGATTAGGGAGTACTCGGCAAAGGCATACGAGGATGCCAAAGATCAACTGAACTGGCCTTGGCAACCGTCGATTGGAGGTCCAATGATCGAGAAAGCGGGATCCAAGAGTGAAGAAGAGGGCACGTTCCACCATCTTCCCATCATCACGACCTATACCTCCAATGAAGGAAAATACTACACTCCCGGTAACCTAGAAACCAACGACGACTTTGTTCAGTTCTGGCACCGAATTAGCCCTGGTCTCAACATCACAGACCTCGCTCTCATCAACGAGCTGTACCCAGACCCCATAGCATACCCTGACTCCCCTTGGGCCGGATCCCCGAACAGCACTCAGTACAACCGCATCTCAGCTGCATGGTCCGACATGGCGTATATCTGCATGAGCCGCCACACTGCCGTCACTACATCAAGGGCAGGAGTTCCAACCTGGAGTCTTCATTTCAACACTCCTGACTTTCCATTGGTTGCGCAGTCATGGAAGGGAATTCCTCACGCCTCTGATGCTGCATACATCTGGAATGACCCCCATGTTGCTTATCCTGAGACTGCGCGAATTTACTACCAGTACATCAATAGCTTTGTCTTAACAGGTGATCCTAACAAGAAGAGGTTGGATGGAACTGTGGAGTGGCCGCAGTACAAGGCGGGTGAGAAGAGAAGCGCATATGCAAAGCAGCTTTTGGTGAACCCTGGAAACTTTACTGTTGTGGAGGAAGACAGAGGTAGAGGAAGGCAGTGTGAGTTCTGGAACGATCTAGAAAGAGCTAGCCGTCTCTACAAGTAGAGATAATTTATGTCGGAATGATGTTCCGTTATGTCAGCGGTTAACGCACACCAACAGGCATCACAATAGGACAGAAAGCGGGCTTTATGTGTATATGCTATGTAAATTAATACAAAAGGCCCCGTTGAAACCATTGGAAGCGCCACCAATCATAAAACCCTCATCAAAATCATCACACTCAATGTCTTTCCCAAGCGTCTCCCAAAAACTCCGAAAGCGGGGGCCTGTCGCCATGGTATACCCATGAACTTCCTTATCAAGGCCAGTATACCGACCAAAACCTATTGTTATCCAGCACCAGTTCGGTGATCTAGCAACCGTCAGCCTCGGCCAGAACCCGTGACATGATACGAATTCCTCACGGCATATTCTTCTCATTCTTGGTCCCCCAACGGTTAGCTTTTTCAGCCTTATGCTCATTTTTTGCAGATAGAGGGCGACGCATGCTTATGAAAAGGATTTACTGTATGTGTTTGAGCATTTTTAAAACCTGACCACGATCGAGGTCACTCCAGCAGCCCAAGCGCGAGCTGCATATGCCTGAGCGAGGTGGTTGAGGAACATGTCTACGAGGATGGTTCGCTTCCGGTCGAGAGTAGTAGGCATCACTCGTGAGGATATGTTCGGAGTTCAGAGACGAAGGATGCGAACCAGCAGCCAGGCCACATGATCCTAATAGCGGGACAGAGAGCCTTTTCCCCCGCAAATTTGTTTCGTGATTCGACATCATCAACATCTTTCACTTGAGCCCTATGAACACACGACCATGAATAAAAAAGACGCCGCTCTGAAGACCTCGACTGTCGAGTGTTTAACTAACGAGTTACTTGGTGCTATTTGCGATCTTCTGCCAAACAGCGACATCAAGAATTTCGACTCGCCAGCCCTCTTCTCGGTCAAAAATGCCAGGTGAAGATCAGTCGCGTTTTTATATCGCCCAATCCTCTCAATATTTATGTAGCCCATGCCATTGCCACGAATGAGGCCTATTGACTGGGTGTAGAAGAGATCATTTGGGACGATGCCACTTTGGTCCCCTCCGGAGGCGACGGAGATCTATTCCACGAGTACTCCGACGACAGCGACAAAGAATTTCCTGAGGGGATAGCCGCCGAAGCCCAAGAAAGCTTTGCCTGATTTGTTAGTGGCTACAAGAGTAGTATAAAAGTCGCTAAAGATCGTATGGGGGACACGTTCTCACGACCTGATGATGTGTCGAAACAACACCAGTTGGATAATGCAATACCATACCAGGACTCATTTGAGTACCGCAATCTCCTGGAATGTCAACAGAGAGATATCATAGCGTCAAAGACAGATGAGGATATCTTTCGCTACATTCTTCGACAATTCCCGAACCTGAAGAGAGTGGTCGTCACACCTGCTGCTCACGGATATCTCTTTGAGCCTCTGTATAGAACACCCATGATTGGATCTTTTCCATATGGGTTCATCTATCCTATACCCCTGGGATGGCCCAAACCCTTACCGGGACACCAATGGGCAGTGGCCTCGCCTTGGGATGGCGACGACGCTGTGGAGGAAGATAAGGGCTTATGGCATGGGTTTCGAATAGTCACAAAGGTCCTAGCTGAAGAGAAGCACAACGTTACGGAATTGATACTTGACGCCCATCAGCTGAATACTGGCATCAATCACTTCGCCCTGAACCGAGGAACGGAAGAATACGACAATTTCTGCGACATAGTAAGACTTCCCGGTTTCAAGAAGCTTCACTTATCACTTATTGTTGGTTTCTATCTCGCAGAAGAATATGAAAGATATGACAAAGGATACCTACACGATGCCGTTTGTGGAGCAACCGATTTGAGGCAATTTAGTGTCCACACGGACTTTGCCACGAATCGGCATTCTTTGACAATTGGCATGCATAAATATACGTCGCTATTCGACGTCTTTCCCATCGACCGATGGCAGCAGCTCACGCACTTCGGGCTATCAAACGTACTGGTAGCACAATCAGATCTTATAACTTTCCTGTCAAAAGTTGCCGCCAACAATGCAAACTGTTCAGCTGAGCTTTCTCACCTTTATGGAAGGTGACGGCAACTACATAAGTTTAATGGAAGATATCCGCGATAAGCTCGATTGGAAACACCGACCTCTTGATGGAAGGATCAAGATCTTAGCCAAGATCTTTTGTTATCTATCGTACTATGGCCGATATATCTGTGTTGACAAGGAGGTCGAAGAATTTGTCTACAATGACGGACCGCGACCGTTCTGGCTTAGGCAGCGCGGTAACAGCTCTGACGTTGATCCGGGTACCGGCGTGCTGAAAGACTTGTTCAATCCGGCTTGGGAACGACCGAATGATTATTCCTCAAAGAGAAGGTTGGCATTTCCACGTCAGCAGTAGTTTCGATGTGGCGATGAACCTGGTGCTCGACCACCATCAATGTCTCAGAATGTAAGATCAGGACATTAATCTGATACCGACAAAGAAAGCATGTGACTAATGGAGGGAGATTGTAGGCTGTTGGATGACAGGGTATCGAGCTCTCAATACAAGGACATGCAAGGGAATCAGAAGAATGACAGGAATTATAATAATATCGAGTACCTCACTACGGGAAAGTTATAAACCTAGACAAGGCTTGGTAATATGGGCTATGGGCTTAAAAAGACATATCAAGGTTATGCTTCTTTGGGTTGAGTTTGGCTCTGGTACACAACATCTACACAGAACATTGAAAGTGAAACACAATGCTCGCTTCTTTCGGACTGAAACTGAGCCATGGGAAACTATGTCGCCTTTCGCATAACCTGAGTGGTAGGTCTCCCAAGTGGTGTGCCAGTATTTGGCAGTGATTCATCGACCCACCTAATTCAAGGTGCATCTTCTCTCGACTCACTATTTAAAAGAGTGATCTGACTTTAGCCTCACGCATCTCGAGCACTAGTCATCTTCACCTTTGGCTCTACACCTACCTTTCAACCAATTTGCTGCTCAAGCCAGTATTTCACTTCTCTTTCCACAACAGCATTCTTCCTCCAACCAAGCGCAACCTCTTCCAGAGCCACCCATCCGCAAGAACATCATCGCAATCATGGATATTGACATGAATGAATTTATCCCTCCGTCGAATCTTGAGCGGATGCCAAAGCGCATCATCCCGTCCCTCCTTGAACAGCTAGGTCGAGAGGATCTGAAGTCCATCACGACGCTCTCAAAGCGAATTCGGCGAAAGTTCCTCCCTACTCTGCTACGAGAAGTCTTCTTCAATGGCAGTGCGACTCAGATTGCCTACCAGCTTGTATCCTTTCTCAAGGAGAAGCGAGAGCCTACTTCTGGTCCAGTCTACGAATACGTTGAGTAAGATTTGCACCGTGCTGGGTCACCCACGAAGTACCACTAACCCGATTGCAGGACCGTCACTTTCCGACTCATTCAAGACGACGGGGAGGGGGAAATCCCTTCTCTCCCTGGTGCTTTCGGCATTCTGGGCGACTTCTTTCGCCGAGCGAGCCAGCTACAGAATGTACTGCTCTTCTTCGCCCAGTCATCGCGATTGCAGAAAGCTTCATTTGTCAATCTTGTAGGCGACACATGCAGCTGGACAGCCCTGAAAACGCTCTCGTTAGATCACGCGGATCTCATGACTGTCAATGCCATGACTCGTGGCTGTAAGCCGCAGACCTTGGAGTCTGTGTACATCACCATGCGTTGCAGGTCAGAAAAGTACGACATGTTAAGGAATCGGCATCCGCAGCTGAAACGGCTGTGGATTGTTTGCCGATACCGGATGGAGCAGGGGGAGTTGTACAATAACGCTGCGTGGGACATCCTGCCAGCGATCAGCCAAGACTTCAAGCAACTGGAGTGGCTCATCCTTTCTGAAGTTTTCACAAAAGAGGAGTGCTTTCTGCGGTGTCACTTCGTGTCGCGACGTGACCTGACGAAGCCTTTAAGTAGAGTGTAATCAATTTCGTGAGATGGATCTTGCTGACACTGTCCGATAGCTCAGAGCTGTAGACAACATCACGTGGAAATTGAACGAAATGCCCAAGCTAGTTCGTTTCGCCTTTCCTCTCGACCAGGATACGATGTGCAATCGTCTTATGCGCGAAGATTGGACATCGCCCACCAAGGAGCCCCTCAGTCACGAACAAGTGGCAGCGTGGTACACGAGACTGATCCTCCACATCTCTCGAGCAGTTCCCCGGCTGGAGCAGATTTGTATCACTCACGACTATCCCTTTTTCTTCCGGGGTAGCAAAAAGCCTGGTGAGGGCGAAATGACAGTCACAGAGTGCAATATGAGTGAGCTGGACCGAGACTTCGAGTTTCCCGGCGGTCTTTTACACTGATTTCGTGGGTCACCCACAGGGCCCGGGGAGTGTTTCGCATTCGCAACCTAAAATCGTTCTGCACGGTGCAGAAGAAATGCTCTGGGCTACGAAATTGATAGGAGTGGTGGACGATCCACATTGGCGCCTGAAAGGGGCTACAAATGCAGATTTAACGCAGAATAGGCGTGCACTGGGCAAAATTGCCATTATTTTGGAGGATTGACAATAGTCGTGGAAAATCTGGACCTCGGAACTACGCGACGCAGAGCTGATTTACTTTCTTCATGGACAGGATTTGGTACAATGCTAGACATATTGCTTCTATTGGGAAGGGTCACATAGCTAGTTACGAAGTTTGACACCAAATGTACGACATTTAGCAGCATGTTACGGCAACTCCGAGTGACGTGTATACAATGTGAATTCAGACCCTTGCTTTGCCATTCATGCAAATCGTGAGCCCAATCTTGACTTGCAAATGAACATCCCTCCCTTAATAAGCGTAGAACAGCGTCGACTCATTCTCAGTCTGCCTGATCTTCTTATTCTCCTGCATGAGCCAGAACCTCATTCCCCACGCACCAATTGCAGTCGCGACACTCAATGCAGCGCTTGAAGACATGGCCATGGTGTAGCGAGGTGCGTCGGAAGAGGGCCACATGTACGGAGTCCAGATGAACGATGCGACGGCGATACAGTTGACGATGGCGAGCGAGCAAGCTTTCTTCTCCTTGGTTTGAGAGCAAGTGGCAGAGACCCAGCCAAGAATAATGCTGTTGACCGCGTATGTACCGATCGAAAACACGCACATGGCGACTGCAAATGTCAGTTTTTGTGTTGATACTCTAACAAATTCTGGAACTTACAGTATCGAGCACCAGTGTTAAGCGTCGCACAACCAAGAACGAAGCCAAACACCGCGACAGCCTTGGCGATAGTGATGTGCCTACAGAGTCAGCACCAACATGATCATCAACGTGAGTAAACTTACCAAGTCCGCTCATTAAATCGTCCAGAAGACCACGACCAAGCAATCGAAATGACTCCTGCAATCAAATAAGGGGGACATGTCAAAACCAGGGTAATAGTCTGATTGAACCCCAGAGTCTTCACAGCAGTCGGGAAGAAATTCTTGAAGCCATTGGCACCAAGATGGCAATGCTGCATGGCGACAAAGAGCCAAACTTTGGGATCTTTCGCTGCTTCAAGAATGCCAGAGAAGCTTGTTGACTCGCCGGCATTTCCTACCGTGTCGCGCTGGGTTCGCTCGTGGGCCAGTTGGCGTTCCTCTTCGGTCAACCAACGTGTTGTAAGGGGCTCGTCAGGGAGGACGAAGAAGCCAACGAGGGCAACGACGAGTGTTGCGGCGCCTTGAATGATGAAGAGCCATTGCCAGCCAGCGAGGTTGGCCTGGTATGTTAGTAGCCGTGCAGCAAAGAGGTTGGGGACGTACCATTCCGTCCATCTCAAAGATCCCGAGGGCGATCAGCCCCGCGAAGGCAGTAGCGAGAATGTTTCCAGTATACAGAATCGAGATACGAGTAGCAAGTTCCTTGCGAGTGTAGAATCTCGCAAGAATATACAGCGCACCAGGATAATATGGCGCCTCAGTAATGCCCAAGAAGAAGCGCGTCAGCAGCAACCCGATATAGTTATGACTCAATGCCGTCAAGCCACTGATTATGGCCCAGACTGTCATACAAGACGCCATCCAGATGCTCGGTCGAACGCGAGTAACGACCATGTTCGCTGGGATGCCAACAATGACATAACCGACAAAGAGGATCGAGACGCAAGTCTGATATTGGGAACCGGTGAGGTTCAGGTCTTTTTCGATGGTGTTGAGACGGGCGAGAGCGATGGCATTTCGGTCCTGAAATGGTCAGCATTGACGAAAAGACACCTGTTGGAGAAACTGACGAGGTAGTTGAGCCAGTACATCAGCCAAAGAATGGGCATGATCCACCAGTCGAGCTTTCGCACGAGGGCGATCTCACGCGGATCAGTCTTTTCATGTGCACCGGAGTAGTCTCGTGCTTGGGACGGTGTCTTGAGGATCTCCTCAACCTCATCGAGAGCCGCATGGTCTTTATCTCGCTTTTCCAAAGAGTGACGAGCATCCATGTTGTTGTTGATGATGATATTGTTGTTGTTTTGTGGCAGTCGGTTGGCAGATGACCGTGATACAAGGCGAGGGTGATCTCCCTATTTATACCCAGCCAGCCTCACCTGTGCTCCCAATGTTACCATTCCATCATGCAGTTACAATTATCCCCAGCGTCGAGATTTCACTGCATCTCACTCGTTGACGTCAACCCGCAATATACCGTATCTTCTCAGCCATGCGCCCGTAAGGCAACGCGGGGCTGTTCCTAATACGAGAAACCCCATTCGATAGCGTTGTTCTCGAAGAACTTTAATCTCCTCCTCCACGCCAAGATCGTCTTGGCATGCGGGGTAAAGACGCCTGAAAGTCAAAATCTTGCTTGAACATCATCAATCAATCAATCAATGTTCAGGCCAAGGCTTTTCTGGAAGAGTACTTGGGAGGAAAGGGTGTTGAGCATGTCTTGGCGTTAATACAACTCATGCCCTGTTTGCTCATCTAATGTATACCTACTAGTGCCATTTCTTTATAAATAACATTAATATCTTAAAATCCTTCAAAAATAAGTCTTTTAATTATATTATATTACTATATATTTAATAATAACTATTTTATAATAATCTTTCTTACTTTTTAATAGCTATTTTATTTAAAAAGCTAGATTTTATAATCTATTCTGACACTAAGGTATATACTAAACAACTTTACAGGGATTATGTTGTATCTTCATTTTCTTGAGCGATTTATTTCGCATTTTGGCGTCGCTGCCCATCAGGTTTCTCAAGTTATGTCGGCAGTGATAGGCCGTGCTTGAGAAAGGAGAGTTTGTGGCTGAAGGGGCTAAAGAAGATAACGAAAAGGAGCGAGATGCAGACTGGGGTTTGGTAGTTTGGTCAGCTGAGCGCTGAGAGGGATACGAGTCATGCGTAGCGATACGCGCGATACAAAACGATACGCGTGATGCATAAGGAGTGCTCAGTACCGATCCCAACGATGCACACCGATTCCAGCGGTCGTCATCGTTCTGGTCTGGAACCCCAACGTCCAGACTCGCTAACCCATATGTGTGAGGATGCATATCCCCGCCAATCCCCAGAAACTTCATCTAAGTTAGCTTCCGGATCGTCGTGGCAGTGCCGCTCCGAGGCAGTTTATCGAAAAGCTGCCGATTGGCTACCGCGATCCAGAAAAGGACGTTTTCTGCCGGAACTTTCTCGTCTGTTGTCGCGACGAGGTCCGTTGGCAGACGGACCAAGCAATCTTTGACTAACGGCGTTGGGTACGTCACTGTACCCATAACCCGTTAGTTGTATTGTCATAGAAATGAGTAATCGCAAACACGCAATTTGTATCTCACTTATTTGCCCTGTCGAATGTACATTGTAGTACATCAATGAAGACATCGAGAGCCAATGAATCGTAGAGGACAGGAATGTAATGGTAAGGATATGTATTGACTACTAGCCCAGCTATCTTCCAACAACCGACCAAGCAGTTACCATTAGTCGAGATTTTGTACAAACAAACAACTATATACAGAGTTATAAAAAGAAGAATACGGTGATGACCAAAAGCAACTGCAATGATGCTCCCCCTCAAGACCAGAGATCTGATCCTGTCACGCAAGCCACATTTAGCGGAGAGCGTTGACAACGGCAGTGTAAGCAGCCTTGGGGTTGTAGTTAGCATCGAACAGAAGACTGTCGTGCTCCTTGCGCCAAGAGTTCTTGTCAGAGACACCCCAGACGGTGATACCAATGCACTTGGGAACGTTGAGGCAGGCCTTGGTGACGGTGGCGTAGTCGTTGGCGGGGGCAGTGCGGATGTCGAGCTCGGTGATGGCAACCTCCTTGACACCAGAGTTGGCGAGGGCAGTGAGAGCACCCTGGATTTGGCCAGCGGCACCGGGGTCAAGGTGAGTCTGAGAGCCAATGCCGTCGACGGGAACACCCTGGCTGAGCCACTTCTTGACGGAGGGAACCATACCCTTGGTGACCTTGGAGGCGCTGCCGGAGTCGAGGCTGTAGTCGTTGATGTACAGCTTGGCGTTGGGGTCAGCCTTGCGGGCGGCGCGGAAGGCAATGCCAACGTAGTCGTCGTTGCCGAAGACGTTGTTGAAGTGAGAGTCCTTTCGGAGGGTACCGTCCCACTCGAAGATCTCGTTGACGACGTCCTGAACATGTTAGTAAAGTGATTTCCAAGAAGACCGGGCTGAAGAAAACATACCCAGGCGTAGATCTTGCCCTTGTAGCGTCCAACGACTTGGGTGACGTGGTTCTCAATGACCTTGGTCAGAGTAGCCTTGTCGTTGATGTTCTTAACCCACTGAGGGAGCTGTGAGTGCCAGACCAGAGTGTGACCTCGGACCTTGAGGCCATTCTGCTGGGCAAAGTTGACGACCTGGTCGAAGCTACCGAAGTTGAACTTGCCCTGGCTGGGCTCGGTGGCATCCCACTTGCCCGAGTTCTCGGGGGTGACGGCGCCAAAGTCGGCCTTGATGATGGCGGTGTCCTTTGCGACGCCGAGCAGGTTGGGGTCGGTGATGGTTCCGTAGTAGAGCTTGCCTTTGTTCTTGATCAGCTTGTTGATGCTGTCGGCAGCCTGGCGGGGCTCGATGGCGGTGGGAATGGCCGCGACCAGCGAGGCGGTGTAGAGGAAAGAAGACAGCTTCATTTTGGAAGAAGTTCTTGGTTGTAGATATGTGACAAAGAAAGACAAAACGTTTGATTTGACCTGCAAACGGTGAATGAAGCTGTGAAGGTGTTGTAATGAATGTAGTTGTTAGAGTGATGAGAATGCCAAGTGCCAAGAGAGGGTGGACTAGATCATCTTATATATCTTGATCAGGCCAGTCCCTTGTCATATCGCAGAACGATGGTGTTCTCGAAAGAGTCAGTGCCCGGGATTGGTT